GACAGAATGAAAAGGAAAACACTGTATCTTTGGCAACCGTCTCTGTTTGACGGTGAAGGATTGTCATAAGGAGATGCTAAATACTCCCCTAGCACTTCCTATCCAGGTGACATCTGGGCTGGGACAGACTTGGTGACAGCAGGGTAGGCATAGTACTGAGCGAGAGCCTGTTCCTGGATGAACGTGAACCTGTGAGAGCAGCCACCTCATTTTAAGTAGACTCTGGTCTGCAGCAAACTGGGCTAACCTGTTAGCCAAAAGAGAGCAGCTGTGTGCCACCTTGGAGGCGGGCATGTGCAAACTACGTGCTGACTGTGGCTCACGCAGAGGGTTCTGATGGAAAGGTTCCTCGCACAGACAAGGCTCCTAGACAATTACAGTATCCTGCCAAAACCCAACCTGATACCATGTCTTCTTCCAGCTCCTACCCCAGCATCCCGTCCTGCCTTATTCATCCCTTCCTCTCCATCAGAAAGTCAGATACAACATTCGTCAGCTGGGATGCTGGTGTTTCACTAGATACTCACAAAATGTCTCAAGGTAGAGACATATCATACCTAACACAACTGTGCAAACAGAGGGTGTTTAGATGAAAAGTCTAAATGAGTTAAAGACAGTAATTATATGTTTAAAATATATTTATATATTTTTTTCAATGAAGTAAAAAGCTCAAAGTTAGGCTGGGCACAGTGGCTCATGCCTGTAATCCCAGCACTTTGGGAGGCCGAGGCGGGCAGATCATGAGGTCCAGAGATTGAGACCATCCTGGCTAACACGGTGAAACCCCGTCTCTACTAAAAATGCAAAAAATTAACCAGGCGCAGTGGTGGGCGCCTGTAGTCCCAGCTACTTGGGAGGCTGAGGCAGGAGAATCTCTTGAACTCGGGAGGCGGAGGTTGCAGTAAGCCGAGATCGTGCCACCGCACTCCAGCCTGGTGACAAAGCAAGACTCGGTCACACACACACACACAAAAGGCAAAAAAAGAAAAACCCTTAAAAGTTAATGACTCTAAATTCTCTCTCCCTCCATGATCTTTTTCTAATAGCTTTATTGACATACAACTGCACATATTTGAAGTGTGTCAGTTCTGACATCTATATGCAGCTGTGAAGCCATAAGCACAATCAAAATAATGAAAATATTCACCACCCCGAATGTTCTTCTTGCTCCTGTACCCTTTGCAGTTCCTCCCTCTTCCATAAACCCTGCAGCCCATTATATGGCAACCTCTCATCTTTCTGTCACTAGATTTAGTTTACATTTTCTAGGACTCGATATACAGTATCTATTCTTTTGTGTAATTACTTTGAGACCCCTTCATGTTGTGTGTAGCACTAGTTTGTTACTTTTTATTGCTGAGTTAAGTGTTCCCTTGTATTCACAAGGTGTTTATCCATTTTCCTTTTGTTGAGCAATTTGAGCTGTTTCTAGTTTTTGGCTATCACAAATAAAGTTGCTATGAACATTTGTCTTTCATGGACATGTGCTTCTATTTTTCCTAGGTAAAGAAGTAGGAAGGAAATGGCTGGATCACAGGGCAGCATCTGTTTAACTTTGTAAGAAACCGCCTCAGTATTTTCTCACATGACTGTACCGCATTAATTCTCACCAGCACTGGGGAAGGTTTCAGTTCTTCCATTTCCTCACCAACACTTGTTATGATTAATCTTTTTAGTTTTTGACATTCTAATAAGCGTTGAGTGGCAGCTCATGTGGTTTTAATTTAGATTTCCCAATGACTAAAGATACTAAGCATTTTTTAGGTGCTTGAGAACTGTATGTATTTGGTAAGGCGTCTGTTCAAACCTTCTGCCCAGCTTAAGGGCTGAGGATCCTTTATGTATTCTGGACACAAGTCCTTTATCACATACATGCCTTGTAAACATTTTTGCCATGCCGTTTCTTCTCTTTTCATTTTCTGTGTAGTTTTAAGAACAGAATTTTAAAAATCCGATGAAGTCTAATTCATCAATTTTTCTTTCATGGGCTGTGCTTTTTGTGTTGAGTCTAATAAGTCTTTGCCTAGCCCTAGTGTTCTATTGTATTTTCTTCTAGAAGTTTTATAGTTGTAGACTTTTACATTTAGATTCTATGAACCACTGAGAGTTAACTTTTATATATGATATAGTCAATTCCTTACACATTGCCTACATCCCATCCAACTTCACCATCCACAAATCTCCAACAATTCCTGCTCTGTGTAGTTGCTGGGCTTCTGCAGAGCGTGTGGCCCTCACCCCGTCCTCTTCAAAGAAGTCTCTGCTCACCTACACCAGTTGGGTAAGATACCTCCTATGCGCTCCCTCTGTGCCCCAAACTTTAAACACTGTGTATTTTCACAATCTGTCTTGCGCCTCTTCCCTATATCATGCTACATGCTCCCTGAGAGCAGGAGTCATATCCTCTTTCTGGGACTCTAGCGTCTACCACATCACTTGGCATAAACAAGCATTCAGCAAACGGCTGCTGAGAAAAAAACATGAATGAACAAATAAATGTTACATTCCCATTCAACTAGCAGTCCTGAAAGCCTACTGAGTAGACACAGCAGTCCACGTTTATAAGAGGGAATATAAAAGAATTAGAACTTAAGGAATAAGAACTAGCATAGGACCCAAACTATATCAATTTCGCTCCCAATGAACGTGCCATTAAGAATGACCCAAGTGTAAAGAGACAACGGAACTATTCTTCAAGAACACTGTTCACAGAAGCACCAGATTTTAGGCAGCGAACTTTTTGGTTTACTGCAAAAATTTCCGTGAGTCACCTGCCTACAGCTGATGCCTTTTTTCCCCAGCTCTCCACTTGGGGAGAGATAAGGCGTGGGGGGATGGATGAGTCATACTGAATGCTCCCCAAGCATCATCGTTTAAAAAAGCCCAGAATGTTCAATTAGTTTCTTGTTTGCGGAGGAGTCTGGTCATTTCTAAGGTAAAAGCCCAGATGAGTACATCCTTGCAGAGGAGGCACACCTGGCCCTGGGGCAGTGGGAACAAGCGGAAGGCCAACCAAGGTGAACACCACCGCATGGGTATCATGAGCTGCCGAGGAAGTGATCTCTTCAGCCTTTGCGGAAGGGGCACGGTGAAGCCTGCCTTCACAATAGAATCTGAAAGTGTTTTGAACATGGAAAAGTAGGGATTTTAATATAAGCTGCCTCTGTGTCATAAGCAATGACTGTACTATCATTTCTGTCCTATGGTCCTCTCTGCATGGGTGAAATGCAACACTGACGTATACCAGCAACCATGAACTTGGGGAGTGGTAGGTGTGCATGGGGACCTTAACAGTATTTAGCCATTAGTTTTTCAGAGCAATTATCTCTCATTGAGGTCTGAAGGACTACAGCTACAACCAGGCCCCCTTGTAGCCACTGAGGTGCCAGGACTGAGCCATGAGCTGTCCTGATCATCTCTCTGGACCTTCATGTGGGGTTCTGAAACCAGTGGGCCCTTCCATGTGGGGAGTGGGGCAGGTAGGGGGCTTCGGTGGGAAGAGTAGGCGAGGCGACACACTTCCAAATGATGATCAAAGGGTACGATATCAAGCAAAGCTAAAAAAACCACAACTTAAGATGAAAGTGGGGAGAACACAACAGTTATTCATCTTATCATTGTGTAACAGCCTGGAACAATGTGGCAATGGTGGGCTAAGATGGGGCTAACTGCTTTTATCATTTGCCAGCTCCTTCGCATGAGAAAATGCCAAGAAAATATCTACAGAAATTTCCATCTGTCACAGCAAGAAACTTATGCAACATGCCCAACTGTCTTCTGTTCAGTGTTTGTCACTGAGATGAGAGGAACTGTGGTAACTGTTCCCAAACTGAGACCCCATGAAGCTGCTACTCTGAATGATTTTTTCATTCCTGATAGGATGACTACTGACTTGTACACATATCATTCCAAATTCACATCATCCCTTCATTTTTACCCAGCCAGGCATCCAATAGATGACTGTGTGTGTAACTGAGTTAAAACCTCTCAAAAGTAGCAGTCTTTATTTACAAAAAGCTTTTTCAAATATCTGAGATTAGAAATCAAATCTTTCTGGGAACATCTTTTTATTTACATAAGTGCCCAGGAGAAAGTGGCCTTCAAATTCTATACTGTTTAGGTAAGAAATACTCTGTACAGTTTGAAATCTAAAAAGAAATAAAAAGGGTTGAGAAAATGACAAAAGAACTACAGCTTACCTTCAAAAAGGCTTTCTTTTCCAAAGTGTTCATAATGAATGGAGGGATGGCTGCAAATAAAGACAGATCCACTTAAATCTTTATTTAATGTCAATTTTCAGCTTACATTTTTTTTTCAACCATTTAACAGAAAACTTCTGTCACTTTTAGGCTGTTTCCACTGTCACAGTAAAAACAGTTTGTAGTAATTCTTTAAATTATTACATTTGAATTCATTAAATTGAAAACTGTTCCTGTTTTCTAAATTTTTGAAAAGTAATATCACATCCTCTGCCAGCCAGATCATTTTATAATCTTGAAAATAACTTTACTTTTAGGTTTAAATAGGCAAAAATAAAAATATCAAGAACTTTTTCTTCCAGTATTAATAAAACAAAGCGCACAAGGCAGGGAGGATGGTGTAAAGAATCCTGCCTTGGAGTCAGGCAGAAACTGCTTCCGTACAGACTAGACCAGGGGTCCCCAATCCCTGGGCCATGGACTGGTTTGGATCTGTGGCCTGTTAGGAACTGGGCCGCACAGCAGGAGGAGGGCAGCGGGCAAGTGAATGAAGCTTTAGCTGTATTTATAGCCGCTCCCCATTGCTTGCATTATGCTTGCGCTCTGCCTCCTGTCAGATCAGCGACCGCATTACATTCTCACAGGAGCCCGAACTCCACTGAGAACTGCACATCCAAGGGATCTAGGTTGCCCGCTCCTTATGAGAATCCAGTGCCTGATGATCTGTCACTGTCCCCCATCACCCCCAGATGGGACTGTCTAGCTGCAGGAAAACAAGCTCAGGGCTCCCACTGATTCGACATGATGGTCAGTTGTGTCATTATTTCATTATATATTACAATGTAATAATAATAGAACTAAAGTGCACAATAAATTTAATGTGCTTGAATCATCCTGAAACCATCCTCCTGACTCCCGGTCCATGAAAAAATTGTCTTCCATGAAATGGGTCCCTGGTGCTAAAAAGGTTTGGGGCCGCTGGGCTAGACCACTTGCTAGCTGGGTGACCCTGGAGAAGTTACCTAACTTCTCTGAACTTCAGTTTTCTGTTTTCTTTTTCTATAAAATGGGGGAAATTGGATACAATAATGCATGTAAAACACTGGGTATGTGGTGGACAGCATTTGTTCATTTGCTGACAACTTTTATCAGACTAAACTGTCATATCCACTACTTCAATACGTCAATTATTCTTATAAATTGCACTGGGACAGAAAGATTGTATTTCTCCTCTGGGGACTAAATAGTGTTTAAAATAGCCAAATCACTAGAAATGGATTTGATGGGCTGGGCTGGCTGAACTCTTAAGAGGAGTGAGGCAATTCAAAACAGAAAAGACCACAATCAAAAGCAAACCCGGGGCCGGACATAGTGGTTCACAGCTGTAAACCCAGCATTTTGGGAGGCCAGGCTGGGCGGATCATTTGAGCCCAGGAGTTCTAGACCAGTTGGGCAATATGACAAAACCCTGTTTCTACAAAATATATAAAAATGAGGTGGGTGTGGTGGCACATGCCTGTAGTCCCAGCTACTTGGGAGGCTGAGGTAGGAGGATCACCTGAGCCCAGGGAAGTTGAGGCTGCAGTAAGCCATGATCACAGCACTGCACTCCAGCCTGAGGGACAGGGCAATGCCCTGTCTCAAAAACAACAACAACAACAAAACAAACCCAGGGCAGAAGCTGGAGCTGCAACCTCGATTTCAGCAAATCTGTAAATCAGGGCTCAGCAGGCACACCGGGGTGGGTTCCATAGCCTCCTCTTAGGTTAGTGACAAACGTGCTGGTCCCTGGACTCAGGGGATGCTTTGCCCATGTTTCAGGACTGTGGCTATGCAGCCACCCCTACAGAACACATTAGCCTCAGACAGGGCGCCAAGGCACTCCTGTGTGAAATCAGATAATAGCAGTTTTCCCCCAATTTGCCGGAATGTGAATAGAAGGTTCCTCAAAGTTTTCCTTCATGCACTTTTCTTCAACTTTTGTTGCCTGCTCTGCCTGCCTGCTAACGAGCAGTCACAGTGACAAAGGGAATTTAAAAACCTCCAGAAAGTATTAATGGATGACTTGACAGCAGCTGGTGAAGTATACTTCATTGGCGAGCTTCATTTTAATTGCCAAGTGTTGTCTGCATTCAGTTTAGATGATGAAAATGAAACATACTAATTTCTGTTTGTTTTCTGTGAAGAGCACTCTAACTCCCAGGCCCTCTGATTTCTCAGTCTGAGAACTTTCTTTAGGCCCCGGTCTGAAGATAGCTTTAAGCAGCCTTAGGGTGGACTAGAGAATCTCAGCAGAACTAAATACAATGTAGAGTTTCTGTTTCTGGTCATGCTGATCCCAGCCCCTATAGGGAAAACTGACTAGTTGCTTGGCACACAATTTATCAATAGCTGCTCTAACCATTCCAATTTGCTCCATCAATTTCTTCTGGTCAAATTCCCACTGTATGGCCCTGGTCCAGCCCATCACTGCCTCTTGCCTGGATTACCGAGGCAGCCTCCTGGACAGCCTCCACGGAACATTCTCGTTCCCCTTCAGCCGATTCTCAATCCATCACCCAGAGTCACACAAATAAAACCTAAGTCAGACTGTGCTGCTCCTGTATCCAAAACCCTGCCTGGCTTCTTACCTCTCAGACTAAATCCCAAGTGTGAAATGCCAGGGCCGCCATCCATGCTCTGCTGTCTATGGCCTCCTGACTACCTTCCTACTGCTCCCCACCCCTCCCACTGTGCCCTAGCTGCACCTGCACCCATAATGCCTGCCACACACCAGGCGAACTCCTGCCTGTGGTTCCCTCTGCCAGAATATTCATCCCCGATACCCACTTGGCTCACTCCCACACCTCCACCTAGTGCTCTTCCCGGCTGCCCTACCTCCACCCCCACATGCCCTAACCCCCTACCCCCTTAGCCCTCATCACCACTGCACATACTATAACTTTATTTACTTGTTTATTTTCTGCCACCCCCACGGGAAGGCGATTTCCACTAAGAGGCATGATATTTGTCTTTGTTTTCTGGTTCACAGATCTGTGAACGCTTGTTCAACCTGTACCGGAATAAATGACAAAGTCCTGCTAACCCATGCCAGGGGCTGCCATGAGAATCCTGGACACGACGACTTGTGTGATGGCTTGTTTCGCAGCGTTCGCTGACTCCCCCAAGCGGTTCCCATTTTCATCTGTGACAGGAATGCCAACTTTGAGTTCCCTGCAGAGCAAAACACATACAGAGAGCTCCACCAATGCCTTCAAGAAATGTCCCGGAACAGTACGATGCTGGGAAAGATCAAGCCTCTACTTAATTAAAATACTCACTCAAGTGTCATTTTTTGGTACTGACACATCTTTTTTTTTTTTTTTGAGACAGAGTCTCACTCTGTTGCCCAGGCTGGAGTGTAGTGGTGCTATCTCTGTTCACTGCAACCTCCGCCTCCCAGGTTCAAAGCGATTCTCCTGCCTCCTCCCGAGTAGCTAGAATTATAGGCGTGCGCCAGTGTGCTGGCTAATTTTTGTATTTTTAGTAGAGACGGGGTTTTGCCATGTTGGCTGGGCTGGTCCTGAATTCCTGACCTCAGGTGATCCACTTGCCTCGGCCTCCCAAAGTGCTGAGATTACAGGCGTGAGCCACTGCGCCTGGCAGACACATCTATTTTTAAATACCATGGACAAGTTTAATCCTCCTTTGATAGAAATAAAACTAAAACAACCTAGTAAACTTTTAAAACCTTTTTCAGTAACAATACGATTCGAAGGGTGGATATGCTAACTTCAATCTATGCTCATGTGCAAATTTGAGCAACTTTCCAAATGAGAAACAGACATAACACACCACATTATTAAGTCAACAAACTTAGTATGTTGACATGGAAAGTCACTCGCACATGGCCCTATGGTATCTTTATTAACTACATTTACTAACACTAAGTATAACTTCTATGGTTACCCCTGTTTTTTGTTATCCATTCCAAAATGCTTTTGTTGTCCTTTCTTCTCCTTTAATTTTTGCCAGTTCTAAAACAATACTTCCAAAGATACAGAATAATGTTACTTTAAGCTCCAAAAGAAAATTCTGGAGGGAAAAAAAGGAATCTAGTTTAGAGAATAAACTTTCTTTGGATAGACTTTGTCTAACCCAAGCACAACTCAATGTAAGCTTGAGATATATCTTTTAAACTTTTTATTATACAGACACAGAAAGACTATTCCAGCTCAGCCCCCTCCCCGCACTCCTCAGTCTGCTTCAATAATCAGTAACTCATGGCAAAGCTTGTTTTATCAACACACCCATCCTCATCCCCAACCCCAGATTATTGTGCAGGAAATCCAAGATCTCACATAATTTCACCTATACGTATTAAAACGAATATTTTAAAGTTTCAACAAAGCTAATTATTACAAGAGTCTCCCTCGTCAAGCACATGTCCCTACTGAGAGTGCATATTCGTCTTACCTTTGCCTCATTAATGGAATATTAATGCAATTAGCAGCAGCTACGGCAGCAAAGGGAACAAAACGTCCTATCAGTGGTGAGACATGCTGCAGAGGAGAAAATTTCAAAAGTTTTATCTTATTTTTCCTGTACTAGCGCATGGAAGTAACTTATTTCTTCTTGAAAACTCTGAAAAATGCAGAGTCCTATTTGCATAGAAACTCAGGCCAAGAATACTTTCAAAATTTTCCTGGCAGTATTTGTATGTTTCCCACACGGGTGTGCTGGGACCGTGCAAGCTTCTAAGGCATTGTAGCTAAGTGTGGTTGCAGGAGGATGGGCTTTGGAGTGCCGAGAGAGAGATGCTCTCACCTCTCTTCAGAGCTGTGGCCTGCGGCACACTGCCCACTGCAATGCCTCTGGAGGGCTGTCAGGATGGTGAACATTTAGCACTTTGTACACAGAGCCAGGCACAGACCACAGTCCTGGTAGGTGTTATCGGTGACAACTCTTCCCAAAGTTATTGGAAAATATAACTAAAATACGCAGTTGAAGATAAGGACTATAACAAGAAAGCCATATGACTTGAACTATTTTAAGAAATAATAGAGGGATTTAGAGCCAGACAGATGATAACAAATTAAGCAGCTTTATTATGGAAATAAAAATCTGAGTACCTTGGTCAATGCGTTGAGTCCTAGAGCTGTTGCTACGGCACCAGTTGTTGCAGAAACGTAAGCTGTTCCCAACTCACTGAAAAGAAAAAAGGATATCGTGTAGACAACGAGGGCATGTCAGGAAACTGGTGCAACATTATTTGAAGAAATAAAAGGGAAATATAAAAGAGAATGATTCAGAATGAAGAGTCTACAAAACAACATTATCACTCCACAAATAGGGGAATCTAGAGAAAAAGCAAGCAGACCCGTAAAAAATGGGATTCTTCACAGGTATCTTGACTGTAACTCTAAAAGCAGACACGTATTCTTTGAGGTGAGGTGGTTAAAATACATAAATAAATAAACATACAGACTTTGTATTCATGGAAAGGAGGGGAGCTGTGTGCTGCGTGTAGGAAGCTATGAATACAGGGGAATGCATATTGGGCTAAATGTGTGGAGCATATTTGTTTAAAATACTTCTCAAAATATTAATATACACACTGAAAGCAAAAATGAAGTGCTGCCATTTAAAAAATGATATCTTAACTGTATAAAAATACTAAGTCTTATCGTCCAAAAACTATAAAGCCCAAGCAACTCTCTCTTAAAAGAAATTTTAATTGCGATAAACACCACTGGGTTACAGAGTTCAAGATCCTTTGTTCCATATGACAACAGTAGAAGAATACGGGTTGTCAAAAGCAATTTTAAGTGATAAAAAAGAGAAGCACTTTTCTTTCAAGTATAATACAATTACGCTAACTAACATTTGTGGTTAACTAATCTTGTTAGCCTATTTTTCTTTTTAACAGGTGACAAAAAATTAAACTCATTGCTTTCTTTTGGGCTCCACAGATGAGCTATTTTAAAAACATATCAGATACAAAGGTCACACCGCCATGGTCTCCCCTTGATTTCTGCAGAGACCACACTTTGTCGCCTCTACTTTTAACGTTGGTGTCTGTCGACTCAGGCAGGGTAGATGGGGGAACAGCCTGTCACTTATCAGAGGCCAGGCTGGTGCTGCCTGCTGTGTGTTCTATAGGGCCATGAGCTTCAGGGTGAGAAGGAGGTATCATCCTATCAGTACCTCCAAAGCCATGAGTAATGTCTGAGAAGGCAGGCTGGAAGAAGACAGTTTTCTTGATAGAGAGAGAGAAAAAGAAACACTTGACTTTTTTGAAAAAAAGCTACAAAAGAAGATGCTACATAATATTCGGAACAATATAAAAATGTGTACACATACGCTTTTTTAAATAGGAGAGTATCACCACTTAATAAAATGAAGGTTGGAGAACTGCAGAGAGCGGTCAAATCTCATAGCCTTACTTGACAGTGAGGGGTGCGTCTCCACTTCTGTTGGTGTAATTGACGACGGCATTGAAGGACTGGTTAATCCACTGCCAGAACAGCACAGCCGGCGTAGTCCTAAAACAGAGCCATCCGTCATATACCCACCATCACCGGGACCACTGTCAGAACAGCACAGCCGGCGTAGTCCTAAAACAGAGCCATCTGTCACATACCTACCATCACCGGGACCCAGCCGTGGCACAGAACAGAAAATGTGGACACCAGTAACCACAGAGGAGATGTACTGGGGAAGGGAGAAAGCCACAAGGCCACAGGCTTAGGACCTGTGTGCTGGGCAAGCTTTTATCCTCTGGGATCATCTATGTCCTCGTTCCGTAGATATAGACAACACCAAGCTCAGAGGGTTACCATGAGGATGAAGTAAGATAAAAGTTGTAGAGAGCCTGGTACAGAATAGACATTCAATAAATGCCAGATCCCTTCTTTTGGGGAAAAAAGACACAATGTGTAGGCTAAGCAGTCCTGGGCCCTCCTAACAGCATGAGGAGTGTTATATGTCTATGTCTACACATACACCTTTAGTGTGCCTATATCTACACTCATGCCTATACCTATATGTATATGAATGGAGTCAAAGGAGAATCTGCTTGCAGACTCTTTATTTTCTTTCTCCATTTCATTCTGTTTTGGGGCTAAGATTTAGAAAAAAAAATTTGACCTCCTTTTGAACAACTAAGAAGATGCTATTTAGCAGAGGGGAAAGGTTAAAAAAAAAAAGACAGTCCCAGAGTAACAACATTCAAACACAATGGAACTAAAAGTGAAATGACTTTTTTCTTTTTACATCAATAATGCCCCGTTTTTTGTTTTTTATTGTCTTCAATTTTATTTTTTATTGTATAAACTAAAGGAGTTCAACATGATGTTTCGATTCATAAGTAAATTACGGAACGAGTTAAGCAAGCTAATTACCTTGTTTGCCACTTCATATACTTATGCGATAACACTTATTTCAACAAAATTATTTACATGCAAAAATAGACTTTGGGCTTCTGTAATGGTAAACAAACTGTTGCTACATATTCATAACGTACCTGTAAAATGTCATCATGCAACCTGTGATGGTCATGTTCATGGGAACCTGGGCTGACATTCTTCCTATCAAAATCATCTTCTCCCCAGTGTCAGGATGAAAAGCTGAATCATAGATGTACTTTGCTCTCCACAATTCATTTTCTGTAAGACCAGGAGGAACAATTCCTTGCCTAAGAAAATAACAAATAATATGGCAATTGCTCATTTCAAGTATCTCCCCAGTACCCTAGAGACAAGTGGCTACAAGATTTTAAAAGTTTATGCTCTGGCCGGGCACGGTGGCTCACGCCTGTAATCCCAGCACTCTGGGAGGCTGAGGCAGGCAGATCACGAGGTCAAGAGATTGAGACCATCCTGGCCAACATGGTGAAACCCTGTCTCTACTATAAATACAAAAATTAGTGGGGTGTGGTGGCA